TATTAGCAAGCGATGTTCTGGAGACGGTATTCAGTGGAGAGAAACACGTCGAAAGTGTAGGTCAGAAAGTACTCAAAGTTGCCACGCTCCTCCGACGATTGAGGCAGGCTCAAGTATTGTTTAAGGTTATGCGATCTTCGACGAAGACATGCGTGTGTCCTCCAGTACAATATGTAGCATCAATTTATCTCCCTCACTTGACTCAGAAGGACTGGCCCATGTTGAGGAGAGCTATGAAATTCGCGGTTTTGCCCGGTGGTTTTGACACGAGTGAAAAGGTGAAGATTATTGCTAGAAAAGTGGTAGAGTTCCTTACTTCATTTGGTGTAAAGGTATTGGTCGATCCGAAACATCATATATTCTGTGCACTAGGGGCTTGCAGGTCAACCAGAAACCAATTCGGTCCCGCTGTCTCCCGTATGGAAGCTTACAGATGATCGATCGCGCCCTTAATTTTCAAATGCTAATAGGAATCTTAAACGTGAGCATTCGTCGATTCTCCGTCAACTCATTCCTCGTGTATGACTTTGTCTGTCATCAGATTAAATGTTCCCGCTGTTTCTTTGTATATTCTCATGTGCATTATATTCTTGTTTTTCATACCTTTTGTCGAAAGCACATTGTGGGGGTTTCACTGGCCTATGAAGCAAATTTAATTGATTTGAATGGAACAATCGGTAAGAGACTCAACGTTGGAAGACTTTGTACAATAATACTTTTCTCCTCCTTCGGATGCCTCAGCACTCTAGACAGGAGAGGTATTATTGTCCTGCGGCCTATCTCACGCGAGATGGTATGGGGTTGACTCTGCTTTTGGCATCTGAACGCAAAGAGTTCCACAGTTGAATTTAACATGTAATAAATGGCTGTCATTCCTCAGCAGTAAGCTCTTACGTCTCCGGGTTGCCCACACCATAGATAAAATAACCCGATCAAAGATTTCCTCATTGTAGATCTTACTGATGCGAGAAATTAGCGCGACGGCTAGACGTAGCATACGAACATACTTCTTTGCAGACCAGCACACAAACCACTGAGCCAATAGATGCGATCATCCGTGGTCAGCAGCCAAAGACGAAGGGACGAATAATCGCACTTCAAAGTGCTACTGAGAATTTCTTAAATCTCATGAGGTGAGCCCGACAGTCACATGATCAGACCAGTTTAAACGGTAGCGCACGTAAACCCCCGGGTACGCGAGAATGTGAGCGCACCGTATCAGTCTTATGCACACAGAACATAAAAAAACATACCTCATTTGAGTAACACGATTCTGAACATCAATTTAAGCTTAATTAATTCACAGTAATAGATTTAGAATAATTATAATATGTTCTGGCACCTTTTGAACTTGACACTGGCTTGTTTACTCATTTCAAGGTTAATCGCCGTTTCAACCTTGCTTAATTTGGACGAGCTTCGAGATATATCACTTGAAATGCTGCTGAAGTACAACAGCGATGAAAGAAGCCACGCCACGGTTTACGCTGAAGCAGTTGGAAGATCAACCACAGAAATAAATGACTTCTGAATACTAGTCATATGCTATGCCCCTGCTATTGCGGAAACACATCATAATGCTTCGGTAAAGCTGTCAAAATGATCTTCTTAGATGGAGTGTTTGGCTTCTAGTTCATATGAATAAATAGCTATATCTCATTTATTGTAATAAATAAAAAAATTCATTAACTGCCTTATACGTTAATTAAGCATGGGCTTCATTGTTGTACGCCCAGCCAGCGCTCTTCCTCAGTCAGTGCCTGATGTCTGAGTAGTGAAGAACAAATAACGCTTAAAATGAGGGATTGTGCGTAAAAACAGAAACACCTATCTATCTATATTTTCATGATTTCTGAAACTGTTGGTTGACGAGGAAATGGCAATAAGAAGTTGACAGATTTTCTATTTTATTAAATTCAAAGTGAATCTGTGTAAATCAGGGGTATTCTAACCATAATAAGTGACTACGTTACAGGCGGCCA